AGCTTTTCAATCTCCCTCCCTGCTGCTTTATACTCTGTGCAGCAAACTGACAGGCGAACAAGCCAGCAGGGAGATGATAACAGTGTTTATTACCTCATCAGCAAAACAACAGCCTCTCTCCATTAATTCGAACTCTTCTTACACAGCTTACCATCTGACCTGTTGATTAGCTCCAAACAGCCCTAAGCAGTCACTGTTCTGTCTCCCGGCCCCAGTGAAATTGGAGAGATTCACACACAGACACCTCTCAGCATTAGCTAGCATAGCACATGCATAGGGTCCATGGGGCTAGGGTCCATGCTATGGGAGATAGGAGGGAGGGAGAGGGAGATCCCTGCTTGTCCAGCAAGCAGCGAGGTGGGGGGTAGGGCAAGGGGGAGCCAGGCAGACCTTGCTGTGTCTGCAGTCTCTGCTGGAGCTCTGGCCAGGGAGTTGAGGGGAGGGGCCTGCCCTACTGTGGAGCAGAGAGCCCTGCCCAGCCCAGAGAGCATGCCAGATGCTGGGGGTGTCTGGTTTATCTTAAACCAGGAAGTGGCCTGGGAGAGACGGTGCATAAACCGGTTTAGCCTAGATCAGTTAAGTCTGATACTACATTCAACAAGGTTTATCTCAAACCGGTTTCAGCCACTTTTAAACTGGTTTATGTGCACTGAATATCTGTTCTGTTACAGGTTTAAACCAGTTTTAGATCACTTAAACTGGTTTATGTGTAATGGCTATCCCTAGAGACAAATTAAATTTTCCTTCAACAATTGAATCAGTTAAATTCTCCTTTACTTTACTATTTGTATCAGTCTTGTTTGTCAGATCTGAAGAACCTTCTGAGTGCTAATTAACCCAGGCTTGTACAAAGGCTGTTATATTACTAGAATAGTTTATTATTCTATTGCAACAACAGGACACAGATAAAAGAGCTCAGCAGTCCCCCAACAGACCTGACTGGGGCAAACCGAGGGGGGCACAACAGCATGGCCACATCCCCTTTCACGAGTTCATGACATGCGCAGGACTCTGGCAGGAGCTACACTGATGTGGTGGCAAGCTCAGACAACTCACAATCATCTAAGACCAGGGCAAAGGGGGGTGCAACCACACCCTGCCCCCTTCAGCTGAGCTCAAGCTGTGCAGGTGCCACAATGAGCTCAGCTGTGTAGACACCACAAATTTGAGGGGCCCATGCCACAATCCTGGATCTGCCCATGGACCCAACCGTTCAACCTATTTCTAAGGTTCAGATGCCAGCACATCTATGCAATAGTAGCCAGGTAAAGCTAACCTTGGGGGAACTAATTCAGCACAAATGCCATGCCAGAGAACACATCAGACCTTTTGTTTGGCTTCCCAATTCCCATATCCAGCACTGTCCCCTGCAGATGGATTTTTATTCCTAAACTTAAACAGCTAAATGCAGCTGTTGGCAGATTTGACCATGAGGGCTCACATTGTGGATACAGCAACGTGATTGGTCAAAAAGGCGTGACAGATAAAAGCAGGGATAAGCCACCACAATTCTCACTTGCCAAGCACCAAGAGAATCATCCTGACATCTCAGCATCTAACCAGACAAGCAAAGGCACTCCCGGATAATCAGCTTTTTTACTGCTACAGGTGCTGGGAATTTAACAACAATACAAAAGAATACAATGGGGTTCTGGGCCAAAGAATGAGCAACTGTGTATTGAACAGGGGTGATTTACCTGTGATTGTGAACAGCTTTGTGCAGGGCTGGCTACAATTACATGCATCAGCACCACAAACAATTGCACGAGGACCTACTCTACTAGGGAGTCTGCATGTTCTCAGGGAGTAAATAACAAACCAGTTTTGCCCTCTAGGAGAAAGGGCAGATGGAAACCAAAGCCAGACACTAGCCGTTCCTTGCTCAGGTCCATGTAAATAAGAAGTCTGTCTTGGAGTCTGTGTTAAGGTTTAGCCTTGTGTTCCCATGAGTGGCCATGCCATTGCTACTTAGAATATCTTTTTTTATTTGTATCTATATCAACATCAGTGACAGTAGTCCCAACAAAGCAACCCAGCAGCTGGGAGTTTTATGGAGGGATTATTTAATCTGGCAAGTTATGGATTAAGAAACTGAAACAAGGAGTCAAAATCACAGGCCCAGGACAGACTGTACACATGGACTCTCACCCCCTGCATGCCACATGAAAGACGTTTTGAGGACAGCCTCATGGGAGGGTTGGGTACATAGTCATTGCGTCTAGACAATGTATAGCACTACTAGCCCAAGTCTCATGATTCACAGAGGCTGCAAAAGGACTTCCACAGCAACTGCAGGTCTGCTCCATGCTAATCCTAATATGTGATGACATAGCTAGTGGCCATTAAAAAAAAAACACAAAAAAACCCCAACAACCTGACAAGGAAACATTTCCTCCTTCTCCTCCTCAACGGGTGCATCTACACATATGCTTTAATGCACAGTAGCCTATTTTACAGCACATTAAAAAGTGTCATGTCAAAAACCATGCTAATACACTAACATGCAGTAAAAACAGGCTACTGTGCATTAAGCATCACTAAAAAAGCATGCATTTTCACCGCTGCACGTTAGGGCAGCCTAATGCACATTTATTTAGTACCTCACATTAGAGGTACTAAATTTAATGCACAGTAACAAAAGCACATTAATGAACATGCAGACACACCCAAACTGTAGTATTTTTCTCCTAAAATTAGTCTAACCAAGACCTCAGACAGAGGAACAGCCAGTCTGTGGGCAATGTTTACTTTTCAATACATAAAATATCTTGTATCCCTCTAGAACCACATACAAGAGGTTTGTTCCATGGAACAGAAGAGATTTTTAGCTTTCCCAGGAGAGAAACAGCTCTTACCTCCAGTCCCAGAAAGTCCCAAGTTCCCTTTAATATTATGATACTTTAGATATGGAAGAACTGTTTTTGTTAACATTAACATTTTGTATGACTTTTTTCCAGTAGAATTTGAGAGAACTTACACAGTGCATTTTATAGCTGGGGATGGTAGGGGTTGCAAAAAGTACTCTCCAGCCGGCGGGCCTCGAACATAAGATCTCGCGCTGCTCGGCCTCTGGTGTATGGTCTTGCCTGGCGCTTCATCCCTAGATTCTGTCTATTCTGGATAGGTCTTATAAGCAGTCCCCACCCCTATCTCGCCTGCCACGACTTTGCTCGAATCTTCAGTGGAGGGGCCAACTACTTAAGCTTCTCCGATGTCCAGATTCTTGGGGTGATGGTCTTCTGCGAGGTTCTGCCCTCCCCTACACCTCGCCCTAATACCCAGCCATGCCGAGTTGCCGGTAATTCCCGGGGCCGACCCTCGCCTTGTGATGGCCAGATGAACTGGTGGCGAATCCGTAGGCTTGTCCTGAGCCTAGACCCCGCTGGATGAGGACTCCTCCTCAGGGTCTTCCCTGGCCCTCTAACCGTGGGCCACTCAGCAAAACATAAAAGAAAGCTCAACACGTAAGTCTCCTGGACTATAACTCAAAGTTTGGACTCCCTGTCCCAGAGAAAGTCCTCTCCTTACTTAACTCTAATTGCAACACCTCTAAGGCTGGGTGCTGCGTTTCCCTGATAGCCACTCGGTCCCTCAACGCGTGGTTCCACCTGGCAGAACCCAGGACTCTGCAGCCCCTCTCACCACTTGTATTTTGGTTCCCTGCTGGGATGGATTCTGGGGTGCTCCCCAAACCCGTACCGATCTCACCTGGATTGCCGGGTCCTCTTCTGTTCCCTTCTCCTCGGGGTGGCTCCTAGTGTCGGATCCAGTCTCAGGATCCTTATGCCCAGTGTCGCCACCACAAACCAGAGCATCTGCCGCCTCTCCCCGGGCGTTCCCCTTCCTGATGAGGGGAAATGTGTCCCAGCCTCGCGGCTGGCCGCTGGCCTCTCCCTTGCCTCCGAGTGCGGCTTCATGCTTGTCTCCCCTCCTAGCTGGTCTCCAGCTCTCCTCCTCCTTGTCTTCCCTCGGGGTGCTCTTTATGCCCCCGCGCCGGCTCCGATCATCATTGATCGCAGCTGGCTGTAGTTTGAAAAAGACGCGGCTAATCAGCCGCGTGGGTCCCGCCGCTCCTTCCGATTTTCCCGCATCGTTGGCTGCAGGTAAGGAGTTCGTTGTTTTCTTTCCTTCTCCCCTCCTCTCCCCAGCCTTGTTTCAGGTCCCGGGATTCCCCTTCTCCCCTTCAGGGCTATACTGTGCCGTCACCCTGTGACATACTCCTAATACAGTAAAAGTTCTGTTAACAGGCATCTTACAAGCCAGCATGCTCTGTTAACCGGCATGCCAGCTTGTAAGATGAAGTGAAACTGGAAGTGCCCACTGTGGCACTTCTGGTTTCTCCAAGCCGCCACAAGTAAAGCAGCCTGCTCTGCCGAGGCCCCACTGCCTGGGGGCATAACAGGCTGTGTGGTGTTGTGCATTACTGGGGGGTGCTAGATAACAGAGCTTTTACTGTAAAAGGTTTTAAAAAATCAAAGGTCTTTTCTACACGTGAAAATTATTCCAGAATAAAGTGGTGTATAACTTCAAAGTGGAACAGCTACTCTAGAACAACTCCATGTGGGAAAACTTGTTCTGGAACAAACATGTCTTTTTCTGGTTTAGTTTAATCTTCCAAGAAGGATTAAATCAATTCAGAAGGCATTTTTCTTCCAGATTTAAAGTGTCCACAGATGGAGTCATTCAGGAACAGCTATTCCTGAATAACTCACTGCGTAGACAGGCTCAACAATATTTGTAAAATGTATCATATGTCTGACACATACAGCATAAATCATCATTTGGCTATATCTGCACTCACGAGCTGCATAAAAGCCAGCTGTAGTTTTGCCACTAGTGCATACTAAGCCCACCACAAATTCATGCCAATAAAGTATTCACACCAGACCACTGCACATTTCCTCTAAATACAGAGTGATGAACAAAGATTTTTTTCTACAGACATGCAGCAAGATGTTGTAGTATGTCACCTCTTATGAAAATTAAATAGATTTTCTTACCTCTTGAGGCTCTTGATACTGAGATGCTAACAACAGGAAGGATCTCTGTGCTTGGAAAGCAGCACGTACCATTTCTGCCTGTAAGAGGAAGGGGAAGAAAGTATTAAAACTTGATCTTGGAGGGAAAATATTTCAACAGTAAAATTAACATAATATTGCTAAACATTATTTCTTATGTCTTCTCTTTTCCCCATGCAAACTTTAATTTACATTTATTGTAGGTGGCTCAAAGTCAAGCGTGATGGCATAATTCTTTCTTTCTGTGACAGTCCAAATCACTGTACCAGTACAGACTAGTGAAAATAGACCAATAGTTCAGTGCATCTCAGTGGTTCTCAACCTTGTTAAACTTAAGGCACCCCTTGAAAATGCCAATCTTCATTCTTTTTTGACTCTGGAAAAACAACAGAGCAATTTTTCTATTGTAAAGATCTGAGAAAGACCACAACAGGTTAATAATATATTTTTGACACTATGGATTCTGATCTAGGCTTACCTTGGAAACATATACAAGTGTTTGCAAACTTAACAGTGTTAATATTAAAAGACACCCTAAAAAAGGTTCTCCCGGGACCCCAAGGTGTCATGGTACCCTGGAGTGCTGTAGCACCCCAGTTGAGAAACACTGATTTGTCTACAAACAATTTGTAACTATAAGAGCAATAGGATTTTCCCTTCTTCAGATTACAAAATATACTGACCAGCCCTGCATACTTCGAGTTCCATTTGGAAAAGTATTTACAGAAAGGCTACATCACAACCCTTCAAAGAAACTTAAGGTTCTTCTCTAAGCCCAACGTCTTAGAGTACCAAGGCCAGTGCCAGAAGTTATACATAAACCAATTTAAGTGATCAGAAACTGGTTTAAACCTGTAACAGAACATAAGTTCATTGCACATAAACCAGTTTCAAAATGACTGAAACTGGTTTAAGATAAACCTAGTTGAATGTAATTTCAGACTTAACTAGATTTGGGTCAAACTGGTTTATGGAACTTCTGTCCCAGACCCCTTCCTACTTTAAGTTTAATCAACATACCAGCATGCTTTTCAACCCTGGCCTGGGCTGGGCTGTCTGCTCCAGAGAGCAGGGCTGGACCTGCCCATCTCCCCCCAGCCAGAGCTCCAGCTGGCTGAGAAGGGGGTGGAGACTGCAGGCACAGCAGTGTCTTCCTAGCTTCCCCCTGCCCCACCCTCCCCTTGGTCAAGCAAGGATCCCACCTTTCCCACAGCAGCGACCCCAGTGGCATAGACTCTAGCTGGCATTTGGCCATGCCACCCCCATGCTAGCTAATGCTGAGAGATGCCTGCATACGTATGTGTCTCCAATTTCACTGGAAGAAAGGCAAACAGAACAGTGCTCGTTTAGGGCTTTCTGGAACTAATCAACAGGTCAGCTGCTAATGTCCCCCCTGTTCTTCCTTACAAATGCCTTGGAAAAAGCTGGTTAAGAAGAGCTTGAAATAATGAGAGAGAGGCTTTTGTTTTCTTTGTGTTCTGATAAGCTTCCTGCTGGCTTGCTTGCTTCAAAGGCTGCAATCTGTCAGTGTTCAACAGGGGACAGAGACAGGTGTGAGAAATGATCTGGTTTGCAACACATGGAGCCTGTGAGTGCTGACAGTTTGATGCAGACAATATGAAGAAGCAAGGAGAGGGAGATTAAAAAGCTCAGTAACATCAACAGATGCATGCACTGCACACAAGCAATCCTCCCTTCCCCCCATTTGTCTCAGAGTGCTAGCCGGGGGCCAGGGTCTGGCAACACTCCCTGCCCCTTGAGCAGCGAGCGGGAAAAAGCCTGGCAAGGGTTGCTTCCCCCTCCCCCTTCAGGTACAAAGTGCCTGGGGGCTGTCCAGGCCAGGGTGGGGGTTTAATCATAGCATCCTGCCGGGGCCTGGTCATGCAGCGCCTTCCCTCCCGCCCCACACACAGCTCAGCACTGTAGAAAGGGAGGGATCACTCTAGCACCCCCCAGCTTCTAGCCTGAGCCTGAG